CAGAGAAAAATGGGGCAAAGGGCTCTCTGGAGGCTGACCAAGGACTCAGAGGAACCCTGACCACAGCCACACACTCTTCACAAGAATATTCTGGCAACAGGAGGGGCTGGCTATTGGGCCATCCCAAAACATTTTTTCCTCTGAAAAATCTTGAGCCAGTTGAGACCCTGGGGAGAAGCAGACCGGTCAGATGGCCGAGGCCGTAGGGTCCAGGGCGTGCCTACCTGACAGCTTGTTGGGAGGAGAGGCACTGGGCTGGTGGTGGGGGGAGCCGTGGGAGAGCAGGGGGTTCAGGCTGTGCGTCTGGTTGGAGCTGTAGGCATCCATGGCCAGCTTCTGCCGGAACGCTTCCTCTTTCCTGCGGTTTGCAAACCAGTTGTAGACACGGACCTCAGTGACCAGGTTGGAGCCCAGGCCGTGGGCTTTGGAAGGGGAGACGCCTCGCTGCAAACATTCTGCCCTGAGAATGGATAGAGGGGAGATGGTGAGCGAGGGTGGCCAGGGGCGGCTGGCTCTGCTTGGCCCCAAACACATAACCCCCATGGTTTTGGTTAGAAGTGTGAAGAGGCCAAGGAGAGAGCAGAAGCCTGGGGAAAAAACTGCCCAGAGAAAAAGTTGCCCATGTAGCACTCTGCTGAGATGGCTGGAATGGGCTGAACACAGGTACCAAACAAGCTCTGTTGCCTGGAAGCCAGGGCTTAGGCTCTGATGAGGCTCCAGAAAGAAGAGAAGAGAGCGAGATGGGGACAGGCAACAAAGCTAAGTGGGTTTCTTGACCCCTCCTCATATTGCTACTCTTCCCGCCCTACCAAAGGCCAAGTCCTTCACTGGCTATCTGAGTCCCTTCATAGCACTCTAAAGGAATTCTGGTCTTTTGGGGTTTGGGCACCCCAAATGAGTGCCAGGGAAGCCAGACCCCTTATTTTCACTACAGGAGTCCCCCCAAAGAGCAGGTTTGAGATTCTTAGACATCACTGGATGCTGTCAGGGGGATAGAGCACAGCCTGAGGACTCTGTGACATGCATAGCTGACCGCTCTGCCTTCCTCTTTTCTGGCCTGACCTCCCTTTCCACATCCTTCCACCATCAGAGCCAGTCCAGCCAAAGACAGAGAGAGCCCAGAGCCAAGAACAGAATGTTTAAAAAGTCACTAAAACAGGACCAGCCAGTGTTGCTCAGTGGTTGAGCGTCAACCTATGAACCAGGAGGTCACGGTTCGATTCCAGGTCAGGGCACGTGCGCAGATTTCAGGCCCGATCCCCATTGTGGGGCGTGCAGGAGCAGCCAATCCATGGTTCTCTCCCATCATTGATGCTTCTCTCTCTCCTCCCTTCCTCTCTGACATCAATAAAAAAAATATATTTATTTTAAAAAATACCAAACAGCAACCCCTGTGGATCCAGAGGTGCCCAGCCGTGGCTCCCTTGGCCTGGCGTCCTGACAGGCCCCGGTTACCCCCAGGCCTCTCGCCCCGCCCGGCGTCCAGGCTGCCGCTCTGAGCAGCTCTCCCAGGGGCCTGCCCGCCCCATCATTTCCTGCACAGATCACGGAGTGAGCCTTCACGCTGGCGGGGGTTCTGTGACTGCGTAAATCCTGTCTCATGGGTCTGGGCTGAGCGACAGGGGACACTGATCCTGCACAGAGAGGAGCAGCGTCAGGGGAGCCGTGTGCGGGAAAGCCAAGGACATCCTCACGCTCCCTGCAGGTCCGCATCCTCCTGGTGCCCGCGGAGAACCACGCCTACCAGACCCTCCACCCGCAGTCGGTGGACAAGTCCCGCGAGTTCGTCGCCAACTGTGGAGGGAACAGCTTTTATATTGAGTGAGTACTTCCTTGTGGAAAGGCCCTGGAGGGCACACGGCTCTCCACATTCCCGTCCTGGAAGGTGGGGGCTCCCGGGGCCTGTCCTCCCCTCTCTGTGCCAGCGAGAGGCATGTGGCCGGGCCTGGGCAGGGGGTGCCCTCCGCACGCCTTGTCCTATGATGGGTGCTGTCATGCACATCCGGGCAAGACCCCCACCCTCAACGGGGATCTCCACGAGGCACCCCCCCAGCGGGGATTCATGGTCACGCAGGAGCTTCTTGTCCCCTCGCTGCTTCCTGGGGTGTTTCCTGAGACACCCACGGGCACCTCCCCTGGGAGGCATATTGGACCCAGTGCCCACCCTCCTGTGCCACCTGACTGAGCAGGAGCCTCAGGCCAGACAGACCCCCATCCTCTGTCCTGCTCCCTGATGCCCAGAGCCTGGTGCAGCCTGAGTGTCAGCCTCGGTCTCTCCACAGACCTGCCTGGGCCCCCACAGGATTCCTGGGGAACCCAGGTCCCTCAGGCAGCTGGGGGGCAGAAGTCCCTGAATATAAAATGCTCAGAGCAAAGACTCTGAAGTCAAACAGCTGTGGATTTGAGCGACCCTCTAGCTCTGTGGCCTGGGGAATGTTGCTTACCCTCTAGGAGCCTCAGTTGCCCTATCTGTGAAATGGGCGTAGGCCAGCCTGGTGGCTGTGAGGTTAAGTGAGAGGTAGG